AATCAGTGATAAATTTAATTTGATCTTATTAATTATGATGTCCACTATTGGCGATAATTAAATTTTATGATTTTTCATGTTCATCATTTGACATAGTATTCAAATTTCTCCTCAATAATGCATGATTTATTGCATTTTTGATAAATTAAATTTATTTATATTTTTTCTTTTGGACAATACATTTTGCAACAAACTTTGCTCGAATGTGACACTAAAATTATTTAATTTAAGCATATTTCTCTTTCCTTTTACTCTTTTTACAAACTTAATCACTTAAACTTTCGGAAAGTTATAAACTTGAAAGGGTCGGAGTGAAGTATATATGTGAGTATTATTTCTTCACAGAAACTTCCGGTAGGTGATGGTAGTTTCCGCAACCAAAACTACTGCACATTACCTTAATTAATGATGATCACTCGGTCATATCACAATGACAAGTATCGATCATTGATGAAAATCTTTTACAGAAAATTAATTATTACCTCTGCTTAAAGTGTTGTTTGATTGCATGCTACATGCTTTAATCGTTGTTTGCTTCAACCTTCCCTCACATATATGCAATATTTTGTTGGTGAAAAAAAAAAAAAAGATTGTTGGTGAAGTTTCATATGCTAAGTGCTACTATTCACAAACTAATAGGAATGTTGAGAAATTTGAAAAGCTGGTTAAGCACAAAAGTTGATGGATAAGGGAGATTAACGAGCATCATCTGGAAAGCTTTGCTCAGTTGTGCGGTAAATCTTCCTCTGAACATTGCTCTCTTCTTACATTTGACATTTATTGCTTACTCTAAAAGATTTCCTTCAAAAATTTTTTTAAAATTCTTTCATTTCTATTCAACCACATTTTTTGATTAATGGATGAATGAATCGTTGCATGGATTAAATTAAATTTCAAATGATTTTTTTAAAAAAAGAGCTAATTTTGCAAAGGGAAAGAAAGAAAGAAAGAGAGAGAGAGAGAGAGAGGAGGGGAAGAAAAAAGGTTATTAAGATAGGCAGAAAAAATTTTCCATGTTTATTTCTTTTGCACTCAATCAATTATTTAGCATTGATTATGGTATTTTAAGCTAAATTTGTCCATTTATTAAATCCTTGTCTATTTTCAAATAGTCTAATATTTTTAGTCTATGTATCATTCCTATCACAATTCTTTTCTTATGTTTTCATCATCAGTTTGTTTACATCTAATAAAATACACTCACATACTCAACTAATTTATTTTTTAATTAATTTGTCAAATGTATTTGTTTTTCCTTTTAATTTGCTAAAACTTTGAAATATTTTATTTTTGTTGGATTAAATATTCAGTTATTTGACATTCATTCACTATTTCAATTCTCATTTGACTGAAATGTAAATTCACTTTCGTTTTCTTTTTCAATTTGAAAATTACTCACAAAAAAACTTGTCATCCACTCGTTTGCATTTATCACCAAAAGTTGAAGTTAAAAAGTGGCAATAAGGTTGAAAAAATTTTATACCCTCGTCGAGTTTATAAAAAAAATCTCCAAAAGTTAAATATTTATACTACAATTATCAACACTTTTATTTTACCTTTGGATAAAAGATATCACAGCAAAACAAAGAGAAAAAGAAAGAAAGTGAACTTTGTTAAAAAATTTTATTTTTTTTCGAAATTGATTTACCTTCAAAAAGAAGAAAAAATTCGTCAATATTTTTTTATTTTTTATTTTTTATTTTTGCTTTATTTCGAAGAATTTGAAAAGAAGGCGAAAGAAGAAAGAACTAATCGAAATATATTTATGTTATTTTATATTTTAAAATAGCATAAATATAAGTTACGTGGAATATAAAATAAAAAAAAAAAGGAACAAAAAAGAAAGCAAGGAAGAATCGATTAACAAAAATTTAATATTGCATGGAATATTTTATTATAACGAAAAAGTTTTTCTATTTTTATTTCCTTCAAATATTTAATTTTTTTATTTTTCATTTTCTTCTTAATTGCACATGTTGCAATTATTTCCTTCGCTTTTTTCTTTTTTTTCATACTTTTATTTCCCATTTTTATTTTCTTATTTTATTTTTTTAATTTTCATTTAATTTTATCTATCGTTTTACTTCTTCGTTTACTTAAATTTTTTTTTTCATTTTTTTGTTTTACCAATTAGCTTTCGCTCTGTTTTTTTTTCTTTCATTTGTCAAAGATAATTATTTGAACGAGTTAGTATATTATGTTTTTTGAACATTTTTAAGTTTTTCTTTCAAATCACTAATTAACAAACATTCCAACGAAACAACCTAAACAACCAAACAGACACGCATATGCACACACACACACACACACACACATACACATACACACATACACATACACACACACACACACACACACACATATAAATGCACGTGGATGCATACATACTCGTAACATCAAACAAATTAATACTTTCCTACAACGTGTACTTGCTGACTTCATCGTATTGAATTGCTTTATCGCAAAGTGTTGAATGATTTTTGCCCATTTACTTTCGTTTATCACAATTATTTGTTGAAAATTTTTTCAACTTTTCGTTTTCTTTTATTCAAAAAAAAAACTTCTTGAAATTTCTATTTTGATAATTTCAAAAAATTGAACGATTATTGTGAATAACTTTAAATTGGTTACAATCATTCTTTCGTCTTTTTCTTTGTAAATTTATTCGTTAAATTTATTTCAGATAGATTAATATTTATGAAATATGCA